TCCTCCTATCTTTTGTGATATTGGAAGAAAGTTGCCCAGGTAGGGAAGCAGCTGTTTGGAGATGCTCTGGACCCATTTAATTACTGGCTTTAACTGGACCTCATCTGGCTCTCAGGAGCACCCTACTCCAAATATAGAGGGTTGCAAATGGCAGCTGCCACTTTAATATATATCCTATACTCACTTCTGACAATAAAATTCCAATTTTGTTGACCTCAGAATCCTCATTTCTCTGATACGTGTTCATCAAGATTACTCTCCCTTCCCTAAAAATTCCTGCGTTATTTCGTGGTCTGTGATAAGCTTGTCAGTACATGTCTTCAAACCTGCTGAGCCTAGCCATATTCCAAACTTCCTTTTGATAATCCTATCTCATTAAAAAGGATTATAAAAGCATTCATGTTTATTTATTATGTGTGCATGATGTATGAAGCCATCATCTGCATCACTAAGCTCATCTGTTGATATATTTCCTGACAAATATATATATCTAAAGCCTCTTATGTATTCTGATAATGTCTCCTAGTGCAAAATCATCTATATTTAATGAAAAGTCATTGCTTTTTTTTTTCTTTTCCGTATTGATCATCTGCTCCTTGGTAAAACGTGGACAAATTCAGAAAGACTCATAGTTTCTGTGTGACCTTGGGTGACTTGCCTAACCTCTTTATTACACACATCTATAAAGCAGAGAAACTTGTATGCAGACCTGCTTTCCAACATTAAGATAACTACAATTGTGAAGTACTTTTGCTATCTTATTTCAGGCTCTCTTATTCCACAGATATATATTAATTTTCTTGCAAGTGCATTTATTTTTAGGCCTTCACATGATTAGATTATTATTTTCTAAATTACCATATAGTGTGTGTTAAATGGAACCATGTTACCTGAAAGTGCTAAAGAAGCTGTTGATAGAATCAAAATACACAGGTCCAATATGCAAAAAGTAACATTAATGTGGTTGTTGTTCAGTTGTTTCAGTCATGTCTGACTCTCCATGACCCATTTGGGGTTTTCTCGATAGAGATGCTAGAGTGGTTTTCCATTTCCTTCTCCAGCTCATTTTACAGGTGGGGAAACCAAGGCAACAAGAGTTAATGATTTGCCCAGGGTCTTGTGGCCAGGAAATATTTGAAGCTAGATTTGGATCAGGAAGATGAGTCTTCCTGACTTCAGGCCCAAGAAAGCATCTCGGTGCTGCAGTAGATAGAGCATAGGGCCTTTGCCAAGAAAATCCCAAATGGGGTTGTAAAGAGTCAGACACAATTGAACAACATTAATATATATGTGCAAATATAAAAGATATACCTATGTGTGTATATGTATATATACACACATAATCAATATATTCACACATATTATATGTGTCTATAATATACATATTATCTCATCCTTTTGAAAGAAACCCCTAAATCATTAGTCTATTCACTAACTCTTTCGGGTACCCAGGTTTGTGCTTTGATCACCTGAACGCATTTATCAGAGAGACCAGAGGTACTTAACAATTAATTTTTTATATATAGTGTCATAATTATAGCTTCTTTTGGGTTTCTGGCATCACATGAGACTAAATGTAACAAATATAAAAAGGACACTTTGGGAGATACGGGCAAAAAATTCCAGAAACTAGTCTACTGACAGATTTGGGTTTTTTTGGATGGATTGAGATGGTATATATTAATAAGTGCATAGAATTTTTAATATAATTGATATTCATATTATAACAATTCATTAATCTATAATCATATAAGTGTATTAATCATAGTATATTAATAATGAGACTGTTTTGAGGTGCCTTAATCACTTTCCTAGTAATAAGTGTGAATAGTTACAAAATGGAATGGGCTATCTTAGGAATTTGTATGTGTCCCTTCCCTGGAAGCCTTCATTCAGACCCTCATTGACCACTTGTCAGGGACATGAAATAAAGAGATTCCTATTCATGTAGATGATGTTTTAGGCCCTTTCCAACTCATAATTACAGAACTTTAGAATGAGGAGAGACATTAGAGGTCATTTAGCCCCAAACACACCTAAACAAGAATCCCCTATACGACATATCCCCAAATGATCAGCCAATCTTTATTTGAAAATTTTAATAATGGGAAACTCACTACTTCTCAAAGTATCCTGTTCTAATTTCCTATCTCTCCAACTGTGAGGAAGTTTTCTTTACATGAACTTAAAGTCTTGCTAAAACTCCCAGATCTTCTAAAACAAATGTCTAGTCATGACTTGCCTGTCATGTACTAGTGAAATTTATGTTTTAAAACTAAGGGAACTTTATATTTATCTGTATAAACTTCATCTTGTTAGATTTGATTAAAAGTCCTAGTCTATTGTACTGAATTCTGAGATTCTCTGGCAACCTAATGAATGCTAGAATTCATAACATTTTTGACATGCTTAATATCATCCAGGAAAAAAGAAAACTACTAATAAGGTTCATCCCAAGTACCATCTTCTACACGAAACCTTTCTTGATTCGCCTTTTTTAGTGCCATACCAATGCAGCTACCAAAGTGTTAGTATATAGAGCTAAAAAAAAGTTTATCTGGAGGAGCAAAGTATTAAGAATCTCAAGGAAAATAATGAGAAAAAGAGTGGAAAGTAAAAGAGTCTAACAGTACCAAATCTCAAAGTATGCAATGTGATTACTGCACACTATTGGGGGAGTGAGGTGGCACAATGGATAGAGCACTGGCCCTGGAGTCAGGAGGACCTGAGTTCAAATCCAGTCTCAGACAAATAACATTCATTAGCTGTGTAACTCTGGGTAGGTCACTTAACCCCAGTTGCCTCACCAAAAGGAAAAAAGAGAGAGAGAAGAGAGAGAGAGAGAGAGAGAGAGAGAAGAGAGAGAGAGAGAGAGAGAGAGAGAGAGAGAGATTACTGCACAATAATGATCAAAATTATTTTGTACTGGTTAAAAAATAGAAAGTTCATCAGTGAGACAGGTCCAGAAGCAACCAAACATAGTGTAATATTAAATAGACCCTAAGTCTCCCAACTAGTGGAGAAAAGACTTACCATTTAACAAAAAAAAAAATGGCTTTTAAAACTTGAAAGCAGTATGGCAGAAATCAGGTTTAGATCAATGTCTCACACAATATACCACAATAATTTCCAAATGGACACATGATCTAGATATAAAAGGTCATATCCTAAACAAGAGGAGCAGGGAAGTAGGTATTTTTTGCAGGTATGAACAAAATCAGAATTCTCAACAAAACAAGGGATAGAGAGGATAACAGGAGACAAAATTGGCAATTTTGAGTACGTAAAAATAAGCTTTTGTATAAACAAAACCAATGCAGTTGAAATTAGAAAATAAGCAGTTAACTGGGGAAAATCTTTGCAATGAATTTCTTGGATAAAAGTTTGATATCCAAGATATATAGGAATTAATCAAATATATAAGAATAACAGCCACCCTCCAGGCACTAAATGGTCACAGGATATGAACAGGCAGTTCTCAAAAGATGAAAAGCAAGCTCTCAATAATCATACAAAAATGCTACAGATTATTAATAATTATAGAAATGTAAATTAAAGTGAATATGAGGTTCACATGCCATCATATTGACAATGATAAACAAAAAGGAAAATAACAATTGTTGGAGGGGATGTGGCAGAACAGGCACACTAATGTACTATTAATGTAGCTGTGAATTGGTATAGCATTCTGAAAAGCAATTTGGAGCTAGAGCCCCAAAGTCACTAAACTCTGCATACCCTTTGACCCACCATTATCCTTCTTAGGCACATATCCTAAAGGTATCAAAGAAAGAAGGAAAGAACCCATATGTACAAAAATATTCGTTGTAGCACCTTTTTTTATATCAAAGAATTGGAAAATAAGGGGATGCCTCTTCTCTAAGGGGAATGGTTGAGCAAATTATGGCAGCTGAGAATAATGGACTATTATTGCCCTGTAAAATGATAGAAGTGATAGTTCAGAGAAACCGGTGAAGTCCTGTATGAACCGATCCGGAGTGAAATGAACAAAACCAGGAGCATAGTTTATGTGATGATTACCACATTGTAAAGAAAGACAGAAGAGTTTAAAACTCTGATCAATACAGTAACAAATCCCAACTACACAGCATAGATGATGATGTTTCCCACTTATTGACAGAGAGGTGACAGACCAGAGATGCAGGATGGACATATGTATCTTGGAGATTAGACTTTTTCAGAGAAATTTGAAGCAAAGATTTCCCCCAGTTGTTTTCCTTTTAATCTTAGCTTCATTAGATTTATTTCTACAAAAGTTTAAATTTTACGTAAATAAAACCATTCATTTTATCTTTTGTGATTTTCTTTATCCTTTAATTATTTGCTATATGCCAGACACAAAAAAGGCAAAAACCTTCCCTTTCTTTAAGAAGATCACTCGTATAACAAAGATTAACAATTAGAAAGAGAAAGAAAGTGTAGGTGGATGAGCTCTTTAAGGGACCATATAAAAAGCAAAGTTAGGAGACCCAGAACTGAACACTGGGGAAAACCCATAATTTACCAGAAAAGAGTAAAATGGTAAAAGAGAAAGAAGTTGGAAGGAAAGCTGGAAGCCTTTCTCATTAAGGAAATTAAGGTTAGCAAATTAATCAAGGAGGAGAGAAGAACCTACGATGTCAAAGGCAACAATTGAGAATCATGAAATTTGTTCCTTGGATTTTGTCGGAATTTTGTAGGACTTGTTTTTTGTATAAAAACACTCTGCTGTTACACAGAAATTTGGATGGGCCTTCTTCCACATGGCAGGTCTGCAAATAGATGGCTTTTACAGCTTCCCCTATGTGTTCAGACTAAACAAACATCCCCATTTCTATCAACTTATCCTCTAACAGGATAATCATTCATGCAATATCTATCCCACAGAGTTGTTATGAAGGTCAAATGAGGTAAAATATGTAAAGCTCTATGTAAATGTCAGTTATTATTATCGTCAAGTAATTTAGGGCTACAAGGAACTTTTTATATTTGTAACTTACCTTGGCTGAGAGTGTTATTTTGTGGCTCCATCTCTCTAAAAGGGAGAAAGAGTTGGAGGGATTAAGGAAAAGTGGGAGTTTTAAAAGATGGACTGAGTATAAGAGAGGTTGGGGTAATGTCACTTGGCTAGTAGCACCCGGGGCATCCTTCCCCTCCAGCTGCTTGGATTAGACTCAGAAATCTAGGCCATTTATGTTTTTCAGAAAGAAATCCCCACCCTTTGCCCTTGCAGGTGTGAAAGGGTACAAAGCTGAGCAGCAAACAGATATCACAGGGAACTTTTGGATAAGACATTAATGCCCAGTATCTTTGGCCTCATACCCTGCCACTTGCTCAAGCTGAGCCCACCCACACAGGAGGTAGAGACCAGCTAGAGGTTCTCTGAGGTCTTGATAGAACCTGTAGAGGTTCTACAAAAACCAAAATGCTAAAACCTCATTAGTTCTCTGTTTTACATTTCTGGACTGCTCTATTAATGTTCCTTTAACTAAAGATTCATCTTTCTACTGGATATCCACAATTGATTGAACAAAGAAAACCCTGGAATGCACAAACTGAATCCTGAAACATTATCTCCAGGTCTACACTTCTTGTCATTAGTATGACTGGGGTACCTTGCTTCTACATTATAGAATTTTGTCTTAACTCCATTCATTCATCTACCTAGAACATGCTTTCCTAATGTAATTCCCCCCCTGTGTCCCCCAACCCTCCTCAGCCTTCAATATATGCAGATATTCTGTGTCTGCTTTTAGGAGACCATATAGGAGTTCTGAAGGGCAGGCTCTGGACATGTATTACTTGTTTGCCAAGAGTCTTCTGATTGTCCACTGAGGCATAGGAAACAATAATACAGGGTGCCACATGTGGTAGAAGAAGAAGTACCTTCTGGCTGTTGACCCTCTTTGATGCATTTTTCAGATGATGTATTTTCAGCAAGAGATGAAGAAAGATGGTCCTTCTCTATCCCAGCATAATAACATCAAGGGCCACTGCTCCCCACATGAAGTGAACATTCAGCTGGCTAGAATTATAACAAGACTCCTGGTTACCACTGTCTCTGTTGGGTGGTTCAGGCTCTTGAATGTAGAGGATAAAGTCAACTTCACTTCCCCAAACCTCTGTACCAACAAGCAATCCCAGAAACGAGTAGAGAAGCAGTAGGCACCTTCAACATCATTTAGGTGTTGTATCCCATGGCCTCCCAGATGGCATTATCCTCCTATCATGAAAGAAGCACATCTAATCAGAAGAAAACTACATTTTCCACGAGGCCCTGGGCCCCATGACTTTGGCTTGATTGAACAAAGATAAGACCATTCTTCCAATGGTGCCATGTGGCCAATGTGTGAACGAGGAGAAAAACAGACAACGATGGCAATGTCTAATGTAGGAATGGGAACGACAGCTGTGTAGCTATATCAGCTGTTCCACTTGGTTTTATTCGAGAGGCCCTTTTTTGTCTGTCAACCACATACATAGAAGCCCTGCTTCTACTGCTCGTGGTGGATAGGCAGAAGTACCTCTTTCATTGTATCTTCCACCCAAGCAGTGAATAGGACTGCATCTAGTACCATTAGACCATTAAGGGTGTGGTCTCAAAGAGAGGACATGGTTGTTAGCACATCATATGCAGTACCTGGAATTGGTAGAGAACTTCTGCCTAATACCACTCCTTAAGGATTGGAAGACATTGATGGTCTATAAGCTCTTGGTCAGATAGGAGCAATTAAATCAGGAGGAACCTTGATGGATTCAGCAAAATCCTGGCATTGTCAGCATCAGACAGAGGTAGGAAATGCAAACAAATGCTATAAAAAACCTGATTAGAGAAGCAGGTTGAACCATAGCCCTGGAATTCCCTGTATCTTGACTTCTTAATTTAGTACACACTTCCCTGTCCTGAATCCCTGCCCCAGCAACCAGCCATCCTGTGCTTTCTCAGCTCCTTGGATTTTGGTATTCTGGTACCAACTTTCCATGTACTTTCCTTTGCAATTTGGACCCTGCCTCCTCTGCTCTTCTTGGCAACTACCTTCTCCCCACTTCATTCAGAGATTTACTCAATCACTGGCACATGTTAGCCCATCCTGGAGCGGGGTGCAACAGATAACAATACTTGCAATATCTGCAGGGGCCTTGTGAGGAAAGCATTTGGTCCAAGGGCTATATAAATAGTGACCTGTTATTATCAGGGATACGTAATCATGGCTTAGGTTCTTCCTAGGTTAGCATTTTTGTTTTTGTTTTCTTCTTTTAAGGACTCCTATTTGCTAAAGGAGGACATTGTTGACACTTCTTTCCTCACTCTGAATAGGGAGAAGAAACTCAGAGAAGAATTCAACTGCCCATCGAGTGATCTAAAGAAATTTTGATGTATAAGCCCACTGAGTTCCTCCTAGAGCAGCCTGTGTCTTAGTTGAATGATTTCTTTCTTTGTTGGATTCATGTTATTGATGAAGATCAAACAGCCAAAATTTAAAAAGGCCTGTGGAGTTTTCTTCTCCTGTTACAAAACAAAAGAGGGGCCCTCTAGTCATATATTTCAACTGAAAAAGCCTCTATCACCACATTTCCTGTTTGCAACTGAACCAAGTGCACACAAAGGATTTTAAGAAACAGGCATGAAAAATTGAGTTTCAGATGAAGATCAGGCACATTGCATTGTTATTTGTAGTGCTAGGGAGAAGTATCATTTAGCAGAAAGCTATTTGTGGGCATTTATTTCTTTTAACTGCTTATATTTTACTTATGGGGGTAAACAAATCTGTCTGAGAAAACAAGGATGTCAGGTAAGTGATGCTTTAAAGTCTATTCCCTTACTCTGTGTAGCCTAAAAATAAACACATTTAACAGACCAGAGTGAATCCAAGTTCTTAAAGCAAGAAACTCATGACTTAGTATCTAAATTTCTTGCTGCAAATGATGTGAAACTGGGAAGAAAAACTGATGGAATTAGGAAATGTATTGAAGATTCTACTACGGTGCATAGTTGTTGGGAAAGCAATGACATCGAAGGCCTTGCTGTAGCTATAGCATCAAGCTTCCTATGGGTTCTTGGATGATGCCATAACATTGCTTTTGGTTTAAAAATATGACTCCCATCATGAGGAGCAGCTGGTTGACTGTGATTATTTTTTCCTTTTGAAGTAGTCATTGTAACTTGTGATCAATGAATCTTGTTCTGATTCATATCAGTTTAAGCAAAGGAATTTTCCAAAGAAGTCAATTCAATCCCTCTGAAAGTTTTGCTAGCAGTAGCTCAAGTCCACTTGCCCACTTAATAGATTATTTCTGAGGGTTGTGCCTATTGAATTCATTTTATGACTCTCTTAAACAATGAAGGCATATTTTTCTTTTTTTTAATTTGCAAGGGCAGAATTCTAAATCAGTTGTTTTAAAATTATAACTTACACTAGAAACATAAACTGGCAGATGATTTTTGCTCTTCTGGGTCAACAGGCATGAAAAGTAGCTCTAAAAGGAATGTTGTCACTTATTGGAAACTAATTTGATTATCCATCTATAGTTGACAGGATTTTTTTAAAATTAAAGTTGCATTGACAGAGAAATGGCTGTCTTCGCAGTACCTTATTGTAAAGCTTGGGCTGAGAATTTGGTCGTGACCTCTGTGTCATCTGCTGGCCTTGGTGTGTCATCTGTAGCTTCTGCAAAATTACCCCCCAAATTCCCATTTAATTTCTTATGTGACCCATGATATATAGAAACCATGATGGGGAGCATGGCAATGTGGAAGGGATAACTGTATTATAAACATGTTTGTACATGTGGGCCTTTTTTTCTATTTTTTGAACTCTTTGGGATTGTAAATTTATGTATCACTTTAATTTTCTCAGTATGTTTTTAGGGCATCTGTGAATTAAGCATCCCTGCAAAGCATTGGTTACAAGGAAGGAGTATATAATTGCTAATTTATAGAAGAGGGCACAGAAAATGGCTTTGGTGCTCAGACTAAAACAATGAATTAAGGAAGACATCCAGAATTCAGTCACCAGATTGGAGACTTTTGCGAACCTTAAAGTGCTATATAGATGCTATTATTGTTAATGAAGATTATTTCAATCACTGAGATACTGAGGAGAAAGGGAACTAAAATCTAGACTAACTAAAATGCAAGTAAGAAGAGAAAACTTTTATCCAAAAATTTCAGAAACGACTAGGAATTTTGAAAGCGTCTAGATCTAAAGGTGGGTTTTGATGTCTCGGCCACATGGTTTTCTCAACGTCCTCACAATTCTATCACCTCCAGCAAAGACATTCTCTGAAACACTTGTTCTGATCCAATTTCTTTACCTACCTCTGTTCTCTGAGGGAAATTTCTACCTCCTGTATAAGTACAACTAGGACTATGGTTTAGATTCCAGTTTCCTTGATGTTTAAAGGAATTTGTTCCTGCTCAAATGAACCCAGAACCCAGAAAGATTTTAGTAAGGTAGATCTCTTGCCAAGTTTTCTTTAAACTGGCTTCTAACTTTCATTGTTCCTTTCTGTTTTATGAGGTAATATTACTCACAATTGTCTGCTACTCTTCTCTGTAGATTTTATATGCAAGTTTATATCCTAAATTGCTGTTGACCTCACTTGTCATATCTCTCTTGGCAAGGGAGTCAAGTGTTAGCTGAGTAAGGTGGTTTTTAATTGATTTTATTCTCCTTATTATGGAAACTGATTTACATAGTTTAAACATCTATGAAAATATGGTAATTAGTGTCAATATCCATCTCTCCATCCATGTCCCAATTGTAAAGTTCTTTAATGACCCAAAACTTTTCCTTGAAACAAGGACCCATTTAAAAATGCCAAAAGCCTAGTGGTGTTGGGTAACTATGAAGCATGGAACATTACAGTCTTTGAAAAATTGAAAATTAGTATCAGTCATAAGGCATAGACTGTGACACATCATAAATAATAATAAACATATAAAGAAAAAAAGAGTGTTGGTCTCATCGTGAAAGCAAGGGATAGCTGATGGATGGTGTTTGTACTCAATTAGTATATTCACAATGTCAGGCAAAAGCAAGGGAGAGGCCTATTGTTTTAGGAGGACCTACAATGATGAATATGTGGGAGAACATGGCCAAGAATTGCAAATAATGGGCTGGCACAGATGAATGTTTCCTCTAATGGTCTTCATCATCAGAGGAAATGTCTTCATTGATGAAATCACAGATCACTTTGAGTAGTTGAGTGGGTTTTTAAGATCACCAGTCTAAATTAAGAGATTGCTTTAGTCTGGGAAAGAAGACTGGTCATGACCTGGAGAATTTTACTAAGTAAGAGTGTATGGACATCTCCTGATGCCATATGATTCTTCAGCTTTGTTACCAACAAATTTCTTAGTGAAAGTGTAGCTCACTCATTAAGCATTTGATGCAAGAAAGATGTATTTGCTATCTAGTTGATGAGGTAATGCCATAATTAAGGATGCGTAGAGTTTCATCTGTGTATAGTCTATTTTTGCCTCTCCACATTAGCGTATAGTATATTGTTCTGCACGTGCAATTGGTACCCATATGACCCCTCTGGGACTTGGTTGTTTTATCATTGATCAAGAAGCTTCAGTTATGATGTGCCGGGCTCAGTGCTAAGCACTGCAGATACAAAGACAAAAACGAAATAGTTTCTATCTTCAAGGAACTTATATTCTAATGGGGAAAACAACATGAACATTTATAGGTATATACATAGTGTATACAAAATTACTACAAGGTAGTTTGGGGAGGGAAAACGCTAGCAGCTGTGGGATCAGGAAAGACTTCACTTAGATGCTGGCATTTGAGCTGAATTTTGAAGGAAATCAGAGATTTCAGGAGGTAGAGGGGAGGAGGGAGTACATTCCAGTCATAAGGTACCTACCGCAAGGGTATAGAAACTGGATATAGAGTGTCATTTATATAGAACAGGGAGTAGGTCAACATGGCTAGATTGTAGAATGCCAGGAGGGAAATAAAGTATAAAAAGACAGTCCAGGCTGGAGGGGCAAATTTAATCGAAATGAAATGAAAAAATTTAAATGTCAAAGAGTGGACTTTATATCTGATCATAGAGGCAATAGGGTATCTCTGCAGTTTATTTAATAGAGGGAGGTGATACGGTCAGATGTGTGCTTTAGGACATTCACTTTGACTGCTGTGTGGAAGATGGATAATAATGCTTTAACACCTGGGAGGCAGGTATTAGACAAGACTACATAAAATCTTAGGTTTTAGATCTAGAAGAGATCTTCAAGATAGACCAGATCAGAAGTTTCTAACCTTTTTTTTTTTCCTGGCAATTGAGGTTAAGTGACTTGCTCAGGGTCACACAGCTAGTAAGTGTCAAGTATTTGGTCTGAGGTCAGATTTGAACTTAGGTCCTCCTGACTTCAGGGCCTGTGCTCTATCCACTGTGCCACCTAGCTGCCCCTAACTTCTTTTTTTTTAAATAAACCTTCCCATGACCCTCTATTAAACATGAAAATTTCCATGTATTTACCATGTATAGAGGGCAGCTAGGTGGTGAAGTAGATAGAGTGCTCATTTTCCTGAATTCAAGTCTGGCCTCAGACTCTTACTAGCTGTGTGACTCTGGGCAAGTCATTTAATCCTGTTTGCTTCAGTTCCTCATCTGTAAAATGAGCTGGAGAAGGAAATGGTGAACCACTCCAGATCTCTGCCAAGAAAACTTTAAATGGGGTCACAAAGAGACAATAGCAATACTATGTATATGCATATAAGAAATAAAATGAAGAAGTTACTTAGTTTTTTTAATAAAGACAACTTTATTTAGTATATAAGGAGGGAGGCAAAGGGAATAAACATTTACTTAGCACCTATTATGTGCAGGTGTTCTGGTAAGCCCAACTGTGAAGGGAAGTTTTACCCGTAACGGAGCAGCTTTCAGTAATCAGCCCTTGTATTAGCACCATGCTACCCCACAGTAGGTGTGGCTGCTGACAAGTTAGTCCTAGTCTAGGTGTTTGGTTTATGCCTAATGAGGGACCACATGAGGTTCCCGGTTGGGTTAGGGAGAACATAATGGTTCTTTGGTACTGACAAAGATGATGCTGGCAGTAGGTGGAGGATAATTAATCAATCACACTTCAATATGGCACAGGGAGTACAGAGGAAGATGATGTGGGGAAAGGAATGGGGAGAAAGAGGAGTATGTGGAGTCACTTATGTAACAGCAGATCAGAGTTAGGAGCACTCAGGTAGCATGATCTGAGAAGTGCTTGAGAGGCAGGGTTTGGAGGCTTCATCCTTATAGTCTTTAGTTGGGAGGGGGATGGACTAGATGTTATCATACCACCTTAGACTTGCCTCATTGATGTACTGATGTCCCCTTAGGGTTGTCTTATTAGTATATCATTTTCAAATTTCAATGCACTTGCTGGTGCTTATCTTGCACCTGTAGACCAGGGGCCATTTACTGAGGCCTAATTGGCTTTCCCTAGTTTAGCATGTAATCTATAGAGGTATAAATGTGGTCTTAATTAGCTTAGGATATAGTTTTGGCCAGTGATCTCCATGTTCCTTTTTTACATTTTTAGCTCCTGTTTCATATTATTACTACCTTATTCTAGTCACTTAACATATTTGTTTACTATATTGGCGAGATGGTCATGGGAACTATATAACAAGACATATTTTTAACACACAGGCCCTGTGCTTAGTACTTTACAAATATTACTTCATTTGATCATAACAACATTTTTAGTGTCATAAAGTTGTTGGATGTTTATAACAACAGTCAAATAAATTAGTGAGACCTCTAATTTCTGATTCTTTTT